AACCCTAACCCTAACCCTAACCCTAACCCTAGCCCTAGGTTTTTTTTTAACCCTAACCTGACCCTACCGGGGCGGGGCACGCCTACTACTACTACTACTCGCCTCTTTAGACATTTTACCGCCTACTGCTAGCGATAGACGGCTAGCTAACAAACGCTATAAACTCTCTTGCTAATCAAAGACGCGCACATTCGACCTGATCAAGTCAAACAGCCTAGAACGGCATCAATACTCCGGCCGCCATGTCTAAATGAATAGGAAATAGAAAAGCAACCAACTCGTCGTGACTTATATATATCATGCCTTAAAACAAGACAGGGTAGAACTATAGATAAAGTCTCTCAGGTTGTAAACTCTCTAGCGATGCGATAAGTTGCCATTGTCAGCGTTTTCGGCATTTAGATAACTTTAGACAGTACCTTACTTTCGGCGGGTTCCGGATTCAGGCAGCTTTTGCTCATGTTGAAATAGCGCATTGCTACATAGAGCAGCCAGCTCGTCTTGAGAAACCTCTTCAGGTCCCTAATTCTGTCGGTGCCACTGGTATTGCCACTGAGAAACAAGGCGAGGGCAGTAAAAGTAGCACTCTTATCGCTTCCATTCTCGCTAACAATAAAGATTGCTAGAAGACCAAGCATTACATAGAGGCATTTGTAGAATGAGGATTTATATATTCAGTACTCTCTTTGATTATCCTAGGCTGTATATCTCCCCCTATACGTCGAGAGCGGTTCTTGTGCTTCCATGTGGCGCGCACCAGCCACCCCGAAACTCGTATTGTATATGCTTAGGGGTATTGTCTCTATAGATTCCGTACTGCATTCGAGGGCTCTCTTGGGATGTCGTGTATTTTATTCTCATCTTCGTCTCGGGTATCTTCGATGCCTATAGCAGCGCTCTTTTGCGACCTAACGCGCTAGTCTCGCTCTGGGTCGACTTGCTTCGTGTGTTTGGAGAGAGATATTCGATCTGGCTATACTGGAATCAATTATATTAGCCAGCCGTCAAGGAAAATGAAAGGAAGATCCTTGTTAGCTTCACAGATCATGTGGTGATGTCATTCGCATTATCGGGGTTGTGTGATGGCGGAATAAAAGGCAGAAGGGATAGGCCTTGCTTAGGAACGATCAGAATGGTGTAAGCGCCATGGGTATTAGCGTTCAACCCTTGCATTCGAAGAACTAAACCATCCTCGTCATTCTCAACCGTATAAGGTGTTTGGACAGCAAGCCTGACATGGGAGCTAATTCGTCGAGGAGAAGGGCAGGGCGACGTGGTCAGCAAAGAGCGACGTCTTTGACAGACAGACACTGATAAAGAATTCTTATTGACTCGCTTCTTGTAGGGTGAATTCGTTTTATTTGGCTTTGATCTACGCCTGGACTTGGATTTGTTGATTCTTGCTTTGGTTATCAACTCGTCAAGCGGAATGGAGGCGTCGGTTTCGTCGAGGATTGACTAACTTCGCGATACATGTTCATTAGCTTCGAAGCTGTGATGGTCTTGCTGAATGCGACACTGACTGTGATGGCCGACGTGCTGTTTGTAAACACAAGGTTGGAATGGATTATGAGGCGTTCTGGTCTGGGTGGGAATCGGCAGGTTTTGCACTAAGAGTTGGAAAAGGGCCAAAAGCATTTTTCACCAACAACCAAAAGACTTTCTGAGCATGGGGAAGCGGAGCTCACCTTGTGTTTTCCGTTTGAGGAGGAAGCGATGGCAGTTGTGGGTCCACGGGCAGACCAGGTTCGAAGCGCACCTCCCGTTTGCTGTGCTGCTCTTCCTGTTAGCGCTCGAAGATACTTAACGGAAAGAATGATACTGCCTGTCACATTACTTCCTCTCCGTGATGGTCGAGGGGTCTACCTATGTCTTTGGCATTGACACTTCTGTGTGTGGTAGTTCCCCAGTTCGAACCCCTATGAAGTCTAGATTTTCGCAATGTGAATATGTCGTAGTTGTGCTTGTTTCCCATCCCTTTCCTTTTTAATATTTTTTTTCCCTTTTGCATCTTTCTTTTTTCGGCTTGTTGATTCTCGATTAATATTGCTGGTCCTACGTTGCTGCAAGCATCGCGTAAGACCGCTAGAGTTCCTAAAATTCGCGTGCTCTAACTGGGTACGTTTCCCGGCCCCCAAAGCACAACAGATGCGTTTTCAATTATTTGGGCGTGGCCAAGTCATGTAGGTTATTCACTGTCGCAAATAATGAAGAGTTTTCGTGAGCAAGCGGGAAGCTAACTTGGAACTGTTAAATTTCCAACGTCTTTCATGGAGACGAGAAATTATCATGGTATATAAAGACCCTGTTAAAAAGACTAAACAATCAGCTGCTGTAATTATTTTTTTGTTCCCTTCTTTTCGTCTATATTTTAAACATTTTATTTTCCCTACTTCTCAATGAGTCTTTGCAATCGCTTCTCAAAGTGTAGCAGAGTTCTTTTGTTAGGCAGGATTTTGATAAACATGAACCCGCTGAGCTGCCTCGTCGTAGGAGTCAAGTGCTGCTGCATTGGACGTTAGAATAAAGTTCTTTTGTGCCTTACAAGACCGCCAACTGCCAATTAAAATCTTTGAGGGGTCCCAAATCAGTAGTCGCATGACTCGTATCGCGCTAGGGAGAAAGATGCTCCACCTACATTCTCAAGTTTAGTGTCGCATCTTCTGTAATCGGTACTACTGTAAACAATTCCATTGAGTGCCGACCGTTATAGGTATGGCACATGCGGTATGGCAGGCAATCTGATCCTGACGTTTTGTTCTTCTGTTGAGCAATTGGCATGATGCCGTTAGTATTCAGAGAAGTTTTGGTTCATGCAATACGTCAGCCTTTGTGCTTAAAATGAGGTTGTTTAGACGAAGTAGTGAGCGACTGGTTCTAACTCCTATAGGTAAGTATGAGCGTATGGTCACTGAAATTCCCCTACTTCTCTCTTGTAATGCAAAACTTCTGGCTTAAGGTGGGAATTGGGGATAGAAAATATTTTCGAACAAGCGTAGGCGAGCTTGATCGAGCCTAAATGTAGAGGTGTTTGTGTGTTGTGTGGCGAGTAGGCTTTTTTTTTTTTTTTCATCTTGAAGATCAACTCCTTGCCTCCCGTCGCTCCACATTCTTTTCAACGCAATCAGATCACTTGAATCCCCCCTTTTCTTTTTCCCCCTTCTGTCACGCTGTCACTATTCTATGTGTGGGCGAAACCTGCGCACAACGGTCAGAATAGCGATGTGCTGTGCTGTGTTGTAGTTGAGAACTTACTGGCTAATTAGTGGGGGTGGAAACTGGATAATCCTCACGGTGGGCGGGCTGCCCCCGTTTGCAGGCGGGCCGCCAGCACTACATCTTCCCTGTTACGCTTCTGTCAACCCACTAGCCATCTCATGTTGTTCATCTCTCCATGTTCCTAGCGTCTTTGGCATGAAGCTTTTCGCGATGCAGAAATGAAAGGTTTGAGCGGCATGCTTTAAGACGCCCATGCGACATGGCTTTCGCCTCTGCCCACTGCTGTGCTCTGTTTTCTAACCGTCTGGATGAGAAGCAGCGCCAGATTGAGTGTACAGTTTTGTCCTGTGTCCACAGCTGGATTCCACTTGGTGCAGTGATGCCATTGTGTCTTTGTCTCACCTAATAATGTCTCGCTTGTTGCCTCAATATGGAAATTAAAATACTGGACAGACTCCTGTGTATATGTAATCTCTCGCTCTGCGATGCTCCTGAGTTATTCCTTGGGCGCATTAAGCTCGTTTGGTCACATTTCTCCACTTTCGTAATTCCCATAGTCTATAGTGTCGCGCAATGGGTCCCTGTCGCTCGCGCTGCGGGCGAGTATCTGAAACTGTGACTGTTCCTGTTTGGCACTCGCTGGGATTATTACTGCTCTATGTAGCTAAAATCCAAGGATGGGGAGAATGGCCTAAGATGTGTTTAGATAGTGTAAATTCAAATGGATACGGCGGACAGGTATAGAGGGTGAGTCGGCGGATAGATGCAACGGATGGATTGAGCAAACGAATTGGGCGGACGAATTAGGCAGACAGACATAGCGGACAGATATGGCGGACAGATATGGCGGACAGATTGGTCGGGTGAAATAGGCGGATGGATTGGGCGGACAGATTGGTCGGGTGAATTGGGCGGATGGATTGGGCGGATGGATTGGGCGGATGGATTGGGCGGACAGATTGGTCGGGTGAAATGGGCGGATGGATTGAGCGGATGGATTGGGCGGACAGATTGGTCGGGTGAAATGGGCGGACGGATAGGGCGGATGGATTGGGCGGATGAATCAGGAGGCCTTCTGTTGTTCTAGATCATCTTTTCATCTTCGCACTTTTTTAACTCTGTATGTCAAGTGCAAGCCTATATGCAAGCCTTTTAAGTGCCTGCATTCATGTACACACTTCTCTTGTCTATTCTTCGGTACTAGAACACCTTGAAGCCGTGTCGAGGTGGTCAATCTGTGGAACTCTCGCCTCCACTTGGAAGCGTCAATTCCCCGGGGCACAGCGACACCTCAGCAGACAACAGCGCGCCTTATCTTACTAATGATTAGAACCGTTTAGGAGGTATAAACTGCAAACAATGAGACACTGTTACTGTTCAGGTTACCCCATCCCGGCCTACCATATAGCTTATCTCCCATAGTAGCTCTGTGAACTTGACAGATGGATCTTGGGATATTTTAGAGGGCTGGTCTTGTCATCCCCGTCCAAAACACAAGCCCTGTATAAACAGAGTTCTCTCAAATTGCTTTCTCGACTGGACCCGAACAAAGCAGAAGTCGATAAGTTTTTTTTTTTTTTTTTTCTTGGCAAAGTGGACAAAAGATAATCAGCTCTATTAACATCATATGTAAAACTGTCTCTTTGGGACTAAATGTTGTGGTGACGGAGACGTACATTTCTTCTTTGGCTCGACACGTCTGGCATTGGCACCGAAATAAATACAATTCTGAGTCTATAGCATATGATATCGTTTGAACAGAAACCAAACCTTCAAGACTCGAGCAACGCTTTCTCGTCGATCGCGGCGTTGTAGTCATTCTCCAGATCACTCGCCAGATTGACCAAAGTGCGAACCTCGTCTCTCTTCTTCGCCAGGTCTTCTTCCGCAGCTCTCACAGCAGCACTGGCCGCTTCCTTTATTTTTCTTATGGTCAACCTATCATCTTGTAACCTCTTCACATCCTCCACGATCTGTGTTGCCGCCTTTCCTATGTAAAATGCTACCGATCTAGGTCGGTTCTCCTCAGGCAAACAAGTGTCTTCCCTGTTACCGCTCAGGTTCTCCGCATGTCTCGCCTCAAGAAGTGACTGATTTTTCGTCCTGAACTCATCAAGGGCGGCCTGCAAGAGCACCTTGTCCTGGATTCTCGTTTCGATCTGGCTTTCGGAGGGAGCTTCTTGTTCGGCAATACGAGCGCTTTGCAATTCATTGCTTGCCTTATTCTCTTTATGCTGGGCAAATTTGACATTCGACTGAGCAACCTTGACGCGTAAGTCCAGCTCGTGTATGTCATCTGCTAACTCTGCTAGAATATCGGCCCTCTTCCGTTTGTATTTGGCTAAGACGCTCGCAGGCCGAACCTGGGACTTTGTGGGGCTGTTGACGACGGAAGGCAGACTGAATATTGGACGGGGACGTGGGGTCGACTGAATGCAGCCTTGACGTTCGTGAATTTTAGACTGACCTTTTGCGACCTCCTGCTGCCGCGTCTGATCGATCTGTGTAGCGTTGGGACTTTGTTCTTGCTGTTGGGGCGTGGCTTGCCGCATGGTTTGCAGTATGCTGGCGTTGCCCGGTAATTTGTGAGCAGCGGATGTCGGGACTGGAGAGAGGGATGATACTGGCTGGATGGCTCTAGTCGGCGAGATGGGAGATTGCACTTGGAGGGAAGAGGACCTTGCTCTTGTAGATGTTTTTCGGTCAGGAACCTAGGTAGGACGAAAGAGTTCTGTCAGCTAAGCCGAACATATGAATTTAGTATGTCTCTAATTCTGCGTGAAGTGCATAGAGAAACCATACCGGCTGCGGTGCAGCAATTGAAAGGAAACGGAGGCAGCAAGGTCTTACTCTGGTTTCCAGGACTCCTTTGACATCGCCAGCAGTGAGAAAGTTACGCTGTGGCCCTCGGTTTTGATATCCGTCGTTCTGTCGTGCGTCAATCTCAGTCGTGAGCCATTCTCTAGCTTGTTCGAGCGACGTCTCCTGCGACAAAGCTGCGAGGTTGCGGCGAAGATGTTCACTAAAAAGTGGAGGTGACCTGTCGGGGCCCATGATGTCTGCGAGATCCGAGATGTGCCAGTGGGTAAAAACCTTTCTTGTGAGTGCATCGACGTCTTTGCCCTCCATTTGGCTGGATTGGAGATTTTGGTGTTTGATACCGTGACGATGGCGAGCCCCTGCTCAATGCGATCCCAGGTAGATACGCCAAGTCACGTTGTTGGGCGGTAGAGAAAGGTGCGGCCTTACAACGCAACGGGCAGGAATTTATGACATAAGCCGGATGTAATGGGGGAGCGACGAGCAAATAAGGCAAGCAAAGTGGAGGAGAGATAGGGATGAAAGATAGAGAAGGTAGATGGACTGAGGAACGATGCACAAAAGCTGGGATGTCGTCTTTCTTTATCAGGTATGCAATGACTTTGTGACTGTAAATGTGACAATGTTTATGAAAGAGAAATCCAACGCTCAATAGCATAATCAACATAAATTTGCCAGCGTTTGCTTACGAGAAGGGTGAGAGAAGGCTTAGTGAAAGATGCAAGGTGTCGAGCTAGAGTGTACGGCGATTGGCAGATTAATTTAGAATTTTTAAGGTAATAAGTTCATAGACTTGTGGAATCAAAACTGAATCTCGCAGAGCAAATGACGCCAAAAGCATTGCTGAAGAGCATACAACGGCCTCACCATCACCAAGCACTAAAACACATGTCAGTTGGAAATACTGCTATTCTCTTTTTCTCCCTCTCTCCTTTCTTAACAAAAAACCTTACTTGCTAACATTCTGGGATTGCTAGGTTGAGTAGATGCGAAACATTAACTATGTATCACCACTGAGAGTGAGAGAACCCAGCGGATTTACATCGATATGAGGACGTTGGTCATTGTATGTGTGCTGTGGCTGGGTATGGTACTCGTGGTTCACTAGCCACTCATCGTGTGGGCGCTGGATTGCTGGGGCAGGGAATTAATTAATTACTGTAGTGCTGGTGAAGGCGCAAACCTCACTTATCAATCACCTACACCCCGCCTGGATATGGGGCTTGGTGCTCCGTTGTAGTGCATCCCTCTCTCCTACATCTCGCAAGCGTTCGCTCTCATTTCACCTCATGCTTATAGCTAGTAAGTATTGTCACAATCATCGCCGAGGTCTATATTACGTTCATGTTCATAAAACACCGTCATGCTCATGCTTCTGTCCAGGTTCATGCTATTAAAGCCATGTCAGGTCAGTGGGTCCGAGTTTACCATGCATGTATTCAAAGTGTTAGTATGGCGTGGGCCCACTGTTACTGCCAGCTGCAGTTCTCGCTTGCTCACGGTAACAGTTAAGCGGCTACCCCACTAACATTTAGAGCTTTGGCGGAGATATCCACTCGGCAGTTTCCAATCGCTTATCTCCATTGGGCCCACCCAGCCACAGCGCCCATGTCAAATGCCCAGGTGGAGTATGATCCTGGCTCGGAGGATAGTTAATCCGTTGGTCTCCCGGGGCAACAATTCAGACAACTCCCGAAGCTCAGTGACGAAATCTAGTCATATCTACTACTGCTTCTAAAAAAGAAGAAAAAGGTTACATAAACAAACCTCCATCTACTTTCCTTGGCCCCGCTTTGCTACTATCACAATGTCGTCTGTTTTTTGACCATGAATATTCCTCCACAAGTTGATTCTTATGTCTTGCGCTGGCTAAACAGCCTCCCCAACTGCCAACCTTCCAACTCCTCTACATGGCAAAACTCGCCGCCGATACGTGATCAAGACGATCAAGACAATCGAGACGACCGCGGCGACAACAATCAGAAAGGTCCCGAAGACCTCTGCACGAGCTCTCAATTCCGCATCCAACGTCTCTCTTCCCCATCTCAAGACCCGACCCGGCCCTCAAAGCGACGTCGTTCTCCTCCCCAACTTCCGACACCGCCCGCTTCGCTTGGTCAGCCTATGGCTTCGGAATCTGAACAGGGCCCTCGGACGCCCTTGGGCTCCCCTTCTAAAAGGCGACGCATTCTTGTAGATCCTCACGCGACGCCTACGCCCGCGCCTCATACTGTCGCCCCATCCGATTCGGCGTCTCAGGCCCCTAGCCTCACGAGCTCGACCAGCGCAACATCTTTGAGGAGCTCAGGCAGGTCTTCTCCAACTAAGCAATTCGGAAGGCTCGAGCTCCATAACCCTCTAAAAATCCACTTTGACGACTTCGATGGTGTCGGCACCGACCTCGGCAGTGGTGTCAACGTTCTACCGCCAGGGCTACAGGAGGTTCGTCGTCAACTGGCGGCCTTCAGCATCAACCAGAATATCATTCCCCGCAGAGATCAGGTGCTGTTACCTTTGTTCCTTCGCTTACTTCACCTTGCTTCACTACACCCCCCATCAACGGTATCATGGTACTGACTTCTGTATGTGTCTTAGGCAGCTGTCGCCTCCCTTCTCCAAGGATCTCCATACCCCATTACCGATGCCGCATATTACGATGACGAAGAACCTTTTCGAGTCGGCCCTATAGTCTCCTTGTCCGATATTAGTACGATTGTGAAGGCTTCCCGCCGCTGCCGGGCAGATCGAGCTGCCGAGATTGTTTGGAATGTCGAAGTGCACCAAGAGATGCTTCGCAGAGCTCTTCGAAAGAACCTTTGCGACATCGAGTCTGGCACGACCAACTTCACAATTTGGTGAGATAAGCCTCCGCTGATGCCCTTCTTCTCGCATCGGCCGTTTGATCTCTACAACCGCTGACTCGTGGCCCTTTGTTGCCAATGGAAACAGCACCTCCGCCTCCATTCATAATCACGTGGCCAAGCGATCCTCGACCAAGATGATTGACTTTTGTTTATACATCGATACCGACGTGCTCAACCACGACGAACCGGGCGTCGCCCCCGCTGTCGAGAGACTGCGCGCAAGATCGCCTACAGAAAGCGTTAATCACACCGGCTTCGCCACCCTTCGGAAACATCCTGTAGCCCTCAGCATCGAGTCTAAGAAGTCGGACGGGAGCCAGGACGAGGCCATTCTCCAGATCGGGACATGGCAAGCCGCACAGTTTCTATTCCTGTCCAAAATGCAAGCTGCCAAAGGTCGAGAGCTGCAAGGGCTGGAGTTTCTGCCGGGGTTGATCGTTCAGGGCGCCGACTGGCACTTTGTCGCCGCAACCAGGCGGGGCGACGAGACGGTGAGTTCGCCTCTGCAACACGCTTTGGAGCCTTTGCTAACCGTTGTCATGTATAGATTGTATGGACCAAGCAGCCGATTGGGTCTACCACGTCCCCGCTCGGTACCTACCAAGTCATTCGGTCAATTCAGTATCTGGCATGGTGGTGCCAAGAGGTATACTGGACATGGTTCGCGCAGAACATGCTTGACTTGGTATACGTCGAAGAGGCATTGCCTTCAGCGGTTACGGGGTAGCTCATCAGCCCGCAACACATCGGCACATGTCTTTAAGACGGATCCGGTCCAGTCTACACTCACATCACCCAGACGAGAACTGCTCATCAACCCGTATAAGTAGTACAATCCGTCTTTTCCAAGCAGACACCTCAATACTCTCAATCTACTGGACGCGTTGGGCTCGACTCAGGCCACTGCTGACTTGCAACTGATAGAGAGCACTACCAGGAAAGCATCGCCTCTCAAACGCTCCTCGGACATCTTACTTGTCGCCCTTTGCAGCTTGAAGTTGCTCAGCATTGCTCAAGTAAAGTTCTGAAGGTCTAGGACTGAAGGTCGGGCTCACCCCAGCCCCAATTGAGTTTTGTTACATCTTATAACCGGTCTCTACCATCTCAGCGACGACTCGTCAATCCTTGGCATAATGGAGCCAACAGTTCAAACGAATCTCGCAGTATGCGCTCAAAGCTTCAAGGGGAAGAGAAAGGTGCTCGTGCATAGCTGCACTCGCAAGACCCATCGCCTTTAAAGCTTCGCAAAATCCAGTGTCGACACTGCAAACAACATGTGTCCATGCTCAACTTCGTCTCGACTTGTCAACCCTGCCCATGAAATCCCACGCCGAAGCACCCGAGGATGCTCTCTCCTTGAGATTTGGCCAGCTGGCATAGAGACATGTCGATGCTGGTAATCGTAGCTCAAGGCGCTACCTAATCAAACCGTCAGAGAGCGCCCTGCTTTCACAAAATGCCCCCACACCAAGAAATTCAAACTTGGCAGCCCTGAATGTCCATCTCTTGTGGGGATTTCCCTATCTAAATGCAGCTCTCGTAGATGTCAGAGTACGTGGTGCAACGCAAGACGGGCTTACAACATATGGCAGACCGTGAAGGCTCCTTACACTTTACTTTATGAAGTGGTCATGTCCGTAGAAGACGAGCTAGGTATTATAAGCCGCTCAGGGTGTACACCATGCGCAATTACTCGCGTCCCCTGTCGCCCGTACCGTGACAGCCAGTCCTCTTACCTTGGGTAGCTAACGACCAGCATCTATGATTCTGCTTCAATCTCGCCTAGCACCAGGCCACACTCCGAATGACTTGGGCTTGTCGGGACTGTGCCACCTACGGGGCTTCGGTGTCCTGCTGCAGAATGCTGGACTTCTGAAGGGCCCGGGACTGGGATATAGGGAACAGACGTGGGCGGTACCGACACGACAGAATATTCCGCGGTAGGTTTCTCCGCGGTCCGCGGCCATGGCTTCGCCTACTAGACCATATATGTACCTATGCCAGATGAGGTTTTTTAGCAAGTCTCACAACAGTAGCATATATGATGATTGTCGTGCTGGCTCCGGGCCTCCGGACCCACTCTGCCGCGTCTCGGCCGCGAGGTCACGTGACCTCGCTCCAGCGACCGTATTCTTAAGCGTCCTTCGCTCCGCTCGCTCACTTAGAGAATACAAGCCGTTTTGTTCCTAGTTGATGCCGCCCGTGCCTGACGTCGGTCACCACAGTTATGAGCCCAGCTTACCACATCACCCCTTTCTACTGTTAACCAGACGAAGGGTTCGTGGCGGAACACCATCAACTCCTTACGGTCTTCACAAATTTCGCTTCAAACAGCAACTTCTACAACGAAGATGTCGTCGCAGATATCTGTTCTCACGAGCACGACAAGGCTAACCTGCCGCCGGGACTTCCCCGTTTGGTACGACGCTCTCTACGCCGAAGCCGACGCAGCAGACGTCTGGGATCTCATAGACCCAGACGACACTACGTCTCCGTCAGACCCAAGAGAGGACGATGAAGAACTCTCGATCGAATCATGGATCACGCAGCAGAACGAAAAGCAGCGTAGAACCTATGATCGGAAGCGGAAAGCCTACGATTCGATTCTCCAGCATAGGGCAGAAGCGAGTGACGATACAGGGGAAGAACTCCAGGAGCCTGTAGCACAACCAACTCTCACGCAAAACACGCCCGGGACCTTTGAAAGATATACGAACTACCTCGCTTCAAAATCAGGCCGCGACGTCCTCAAAACTCGTCGGGAGCGGGACTTCGACTCTATTCAGCGTTAGGTTAAGGAAACGGTCGACAAGGACATCCTCTACGCTGCGAGATCGGAGATCCTAGCGAACAACCAACGTTCACTCCGTGCTCTTATTCAGTACCTTCGGAAACGCTACGCTCCAAGCGAATCAAGCAGTCAAACTACAGTTCGCGAAGAGTACCTTCTCCTCCTGGAAAAGGCCAACACAAGCGTAAACCCCCAGACCTGGCTAAGAGACTTCCATTGAGTACTGCTCCGCGCGCTTCGATTCAGAATACCGGAAAGCCAGGGAACGCTCGCTTCGAAAACTTTTCTTCGAGCGGTGGGACACCGTTTTGCCCCCTCCTGGGCGACCTCCGAGCTCACTGAAATTGTCAAAATGGAGCGCAAGGGGGACCGCATCCCTACTGTAAGTGAATACAGGGATATGCTGGAGGACTTGCTGTATGAGGACACCCTATACGACAAAAATCGGGGTAAAACAAGCGGTGTGTACGCTACCCTTGCCGGTCGCCCGAGCGAAGCAATCTCAGATGGAAAAAGCGGTTCGAAAGGAAAAGGCAAATCCGAAGCGTGCCCCTGCAACAAACCCCACAACGCAAACCCCCTGGAGTGCACCCGCGTGGAGTACGCCCTTACCGGGCGAATCAAGCCTTCCCAGGACAAACTATCGAGGGACGAGTGCAAGGAGATTCGAAAGCGTATCAATCAGTCCGAGAACTATGATCTCCGAGCCGAATTAGCTCGGAAAGGCTGGATCTGGGCGACGGAACCTCCCAGCTTCCGAAACCCAGCGCCGCCTCGCAATAGGTCGTCAGGAAATACCGGCTCTAAAGCGAAATCGCAGCAAGAGGAGAATGAGTCAGAGGTGACACTGAAGAGAAATATCCACGCAGTAACGATCAGCCGTGAACTTCTCCGGGAAATTTCGGACGACTTCGACTCGGACTACGACCAACCAAGCGTATTTGCAACCCCACTGACGGGACCCCATGTTCTGTCACGAAGCACGGTTCTCGACAACTGCGGAGCTACGCACCTTGTTAACAACCTTGACTTGCTTGAATCGTCTTCTATTAAAACGTGCATCGGCGACGAGAGAGTCGACTCAGGAACTGCTTCGTACCCAATCCTAGCAAAGGGAACGTGGATCTTGCCAAAAGCACTAAATGGCCCTGATGGAGACCTCACAGCAGACCTTACGCTCCATAACGTTGGATACGTAGAGAACTTTCACGTTAACATCGTTTCGGAAGCACTCCTCCGAAAGACAGGCATCTGGTACTCCGGATTGGATAACACACTTCGCCAGGGAACGTACAAAAACAGCGTGGTAGTCAAGCATCTTGTTAGGAAGATGAACATTACTTTCTTCGAATATAAGACCGGTTCCCAGTATATTGCTCAGAAGCGAATTACCTCGAGTAACGCAGGAATCGTGAACCATTTGGTGCTTGCAGTACAGGATCCCGCTCGACTCTCGCTTCGTAAACCACCTGATAGGTATGATGACGCCTGGTTATGGCACCTTCGTTCGGGTCACCTCGCACCAGACGCACTAGAACGAATGGTGTCAAACGTGAGAGGAGTAAAGATAAAAGGACCCACGCGTCTGGAATGCGAATACTGCGCGACAGCGCACGCGAAACAGTTAATTTCGAGGCGAACCTCTGAACGGAAAGCAATTCGACCGTACTATAGGGTCTCATGGGATCTCTTCGACTACCCGACAAGCTTTGACAAGAACCGCTGGCTCTTAGTGATCAAAGACGAATATACCGGTCGTCTTTTCGCGTTTCCGCGCGTAAGTAAATCGCACACCTTCGTCTTCGACGCTCTCAGGCACTTCGAACGATGGGTCGCTCGCCAACGAGGCGTCACCCTGTGCAAGCTGAGACAAGACGTAGAACGCGCGGTAATTGCGATAAACGGAATGACTGAGTATCAACTTTGGGCCCAGCATAACGGGATTGAAATCGAAGAGACACCCCCCTACACCAAGGAACCCAATGGCGGAGGCGAACGAGCGGGCCAGGAATTAATAACCCGAGCGATAAAGATGCTCAGCGCAGCGGGCCTGCCAACTACTCTCTGGGTGGAAGCAGTCATGGCAGCCGCCTACCTGTACAATATGTCACCACGGAAGCGAAGAGCTTGGCTCTCACCAATTCAAGTCGAAGAGAGCTGGTTCCGACAGTATTTTCGCTGGTGGCAACCACAATACAGCGCGAGCCTCGCCCGCGACCTTCGCCCCCACTGGGGCTGGACGTACGCGTATGGGTGTAGGGCTTATCCCCTGAAAAAGGACCGCGAAGCGGATAGGAACAGACGTAACTTCAAGGTGGAACCGCGAGGACATATTGGATATCTGGTGGGCTACGTTATGGACGCTCACAACCTATACAGAGTCTGGATACCCTCGCTTGATCAAGTGATTATCACGCGAAACGTTACCTTTGACGAGACGAAGTTCTACTCGAAGGACGATGCAAAAGCTAGTTTACAAGCGGAGGTGGCCGAGACAGTCTCCACGGAGATCTCGGAACCTCCGGCTACGGCGAACCCAGGACTCCAATTCCTCGGACTCGCAAAACCAAGCGAACTCGTATTTTCACTTGAAGAGCAGCCCCTGCCACCTGCCTTCGCGCCGTCGACCGTAATCTCAGAAGAGACAACGGTAAAACGCTCCGCGGTTAACAGCCGACGCGAAGAGGGCCTGCTCACCCCGGAACCGACCCCTGAGCCGGCCGCAGCGCCGGAGGGGACGGACGGGCAAACGACCGGCCAACAAAGCTCCGAAGCGATGGACGCCGGCGTTCCCGACCCGGGGCACGAAGCCCTCTCTGAGGCGGTCGAAGACGTGATATACGTCAAGACCAACAACGAACCTCCACGAGAACCGGCCGTGGAGGCCGACTCGAGTAATGATCTCGGGGGTGACTCCCCAACTCACCCGGTGCGGCCACACTCGGATAATGGGAACGGGCGCGAACCCGAGATAAAGACCAAGCGGGTGTACAACCGCAAGGACTACGGCCAACAACAGGGCAAACCGAGACGATCACCTCGCTTCGCCCAACACTTCGCATTCCTACAAACGGAACGTAATTGGGAAACTTTCTTCTATACCTATATGCCTGATCAGCAGAAGGCTGTGGAGGAAGCGAACCAAGCCCACTATACGCTCCATTGCTTCGTCTTCGCGTCAATACACCAAGCGAAGCACTCCAGAGCGGTCACTCCACAGCGAGTGAAAATACACACAGATGAGCTTATAAAGCCCCCACGAACGTGGAAAAGTGTTGAAAAAATGCCGACCCACCTCCGAAACCTGTTTTACGAAGCGGCCCAAGCCGAGATAAGTAAATTAGAGGAGATGGACGCTTGGAAAATCATTGACGAACACGAAGCGTCTACGAAACCTATTCCTCTAAAGTGGGTGTTCACTTACAAGCTTGATCAAGACGGCTACCTCGACCGCTGCAAGGCACGAATTTGCGTCCGCGGCGACCTCCAGGCGAAGCATCCTCTCGAACAGACCTACGCAGCGACCCTCGCAGCAAGGACGTTTAGAGTAGCGATGGCGCTCGCGGCGGAATTCGACCTTGAAGTAGACCAATTCGACGTAGTCAATGCGTTTCTAAACGCAACAAGAGGACCGAACGACCCGCCTGTCGTCTGCTACCTACCAGACGGCTTCAAACAGAACGGGAAGTACGTCGAGCTCCGCCGTGCCTTATACGGGCTACGAGACGCTCCCCTCCTTTGGTATAAGGAGTTCTCATCAACGCTGCGGCGCCTGGGACTCAAGCCTGCAAGCGAAGACCCCTGTCTCTTCACTTCAAACGACAAGAAAGTGATGGTACTCTTCTACGTAGACGATATCCTCGTCTTATACCATAGGGACCACCGCGAAGCTGCTCAAAACGTTATAAACGGGGTGAAAGCCGAGTATGAACTCAAGGACCAAGGCCCTGTCGAGTGGTATCTAGGCATTCGCGTGATACGTGACCGTGAGAAGCGAACAATTAACCTCGCACACGACCAATATATCGAACGCGTAGCGAAGAAATTCAACCTTATCGACTCGATCGTGCCGCATACACCATTGCCATTCGTCCCGCTCCAGAAGAACACCGCTGAAGCGACCCCTGACCAGGTAAAGCAATACCAAGAGAAGGTCGGCTCAATTCTGTACACTGCGATCATGATTCGCCCCGACGTCGCCTTCGCTTGCGCTACACTCTCGAGGTTCCTAACGAACCCGTCTCTCGAACATCAGAAGGCCGCGAACCAAGTCATTAGATATCTTTATCACACTCGCTACCTTTCGCTCTGCTTCGGTAGCTCGGGGGGTGCAGGTGCCCAAGTTCTCCTAATTGCGGGCGACGCCTCGTTCGCAGACGACGAAGAGACGCGGCGTTCATCTCAAGGGTACATCATCTCACTGTTCGGCGGTCCCATTCAGTGGAAAGCCGCGAGACAGAATACCGTTACCACTTCTACTACAGAAGCGGAACTCCTTAGCCTCGAAAACACTGCTAAGGAGACCATCGCTCTCAAACGCTTATTTCGGGATATTGAACTAGACCTCGGAGACGTATGGAAGATCCATTGTGACAATCGCCAAACGATTCGCCTGGTAGTAGGCGACAAGGAACGCATCTCAACGCGCCTTCGCCACGTTGATATACAGAACATGTGGCTACGCCAAGAGTATGCCAAGAAGACGTTCGACGTGGTATATATGCCTACCGACGAGATGCCAGCAGACGGTCTCACAAAAGCACTCTCCCGAGCGAAGTTCGAACACTTCAGGGCACTTCTAAACCTACAAGACATTCGGGCACAAGTCACAAGAAGCGAAGAGAAACAGGTGCGCGCGAGCAATGCTGGCCCGGAGGCCGAAAGTTAAATTTTGACTTGGCCCCTGGCCAGGAAGCATGATACGCTCCCAAAGGAGCAAAAGCAAGCGTACTTACGCCCCGTAGGGCGGGCTCTTTTAACGACCTCGGAGGGAGGCCGCGTACGTGTCCATCAGGACGTTGTACGCGGGGAGAACAGCCGCCGGCAAGTGTCCTCCAACAAGGCTGTCAATGGCAGCACGGAGACCAGCCGCTTCGGCCACGGCCGGAACCGCTGCAGAAGAGTCAACGGGCAGAGGAAATAATAACTGATGGGCAACCCACGTTGTGGGCCAATCAGAAGGCAGGATTTTCAGAAAATTCAACTGGCAATAATAAGAGGCAAGTACGACGGTTGAATAAAGGAAAGTGCGATTATTGCGCCAGGCGGCGCGCAAGGGCGAATTTCGCCATATTCACATCACTTCGAGCACAAAGACCGAGGCGAATACAACAACACCTCTCTTTTGTTATATATATATATTCACAAGAGGCTCTGAATAGCCTCATAATCTTGTATCTAGGCGATAGTAGCGATATGGCCTCGAGGCGCGGTTTTCCAGACGACTACGCGCCGTCTGGGGGGGTGTGTCGTGCTGGCTCCGGGCCTCCGGACCCACTCTGCCGCGTCTCGGCCGCGAGGTCACGTGACCTCGCTCCAGCGACCGTATTCTTAAGCGTCCTTCGCTCCGCTCGCTCACTTAGAGAATACAAGCCGTTTTGTTCCTAGTTGATGCCGCCCGTGCCTGACGTCGGTCACCACAATGATGATTGGGGAGAAGAGCTGGAAGATATTTGAAAACGGACTATTAAACATTATGTGCTATGATGATGATAATCACTGATAATGTCGATTAAGCATATGTGTCATAGTACTTTACGACGTAATCCGGGTCTCCACGAAATATGATACTTGAGACTGTCCTTGCGTGAAAAGTTCGCCTCGACCTTGTACATGGGCGTGTCTTCTCTACTCGCCGTTCCTGGGCTTTTCTTTTCAAACCGTCCTTCAACCCTGGCCTTCCTAAAGTCAGTATCTTTCCACAAGCAGGTCTACGAAGCGGTTTACCCTTTGTATTCAACACATCCAGCTTAATCACAAGTCAGACAGGGCTCTCAAATCTCTCTCACCCTGTTTTTACAGGCGGGAGGATCGGGGCCTAGGCAAGAGGTAAACTACAGACCACATATACAAGTATTGCACCGAAGTTTCAAGATATATAAGGTGACACCCTCGACAGCATCATCATCAGTAGGTTCAGTTAATAGAAGAACAAACTGCTTATACCCACGTTTATCAATTCATCGTTGTTGATTGCCTTGTGACCGTTCGTTTGACTTCTGTACTGTCCTGTTTACATCTCTGTTCTTATCACGGCTCCGACTCCTGTCTGTTGTAGCCGCGTGCTAGCAGGAAGAACTGTGACACTTTCTCTGTAAAAAGACGCATTTGCATGCCTTCTTTAATAAATCTATTAGTACCCATGATTCCTATAGTTCTGTTTTCATCGTTAGTGCCTGCTTTTGCCGTCCAAATGGTCACGTTTAACCAACTGCGGACGACATTGGTACTCATTTATGTGAAGCCTTCAACGCTATATCACAGTACTTGTGCCCTTTCCTGCCTTCTTTCACTTTCGACTCCTCCCTCGCGCCTTCCTTGTGAATTTCTTGAGTCTTTGGCTACGTCTTCTTTTTCTCTTAATTCAAAAAACCTCTCGACTTTTGCTTCTCTTCTTTTATTTCTTCAGCAACCATATTTCAATATTCCACGATGTCGGCCAACAACAACAACAACATCATCAACAATCAGCAGCAGCAGCAGCAGCAGCAGCAACACAATCTTCGCCCGCGTCCACCTGTACCAGCCGATCCAGTACATTATACCTCTTCACCCGATCGTTTCGACGTTGGCTAATGATATGGTGATGCAGGATTTTGTTCAGACGTTTCCATATACAAGTGCCCCTACGACCGAGAGCGTTCGTCGCTATGTGGACCAGACCATCCTTCCCGCCGCCGCCGCCAGCCCTGCCAGTGCCTCTCGTGCCTCAGCAATCCTCCTCACCAATCTTGAGGGTGAAGCCCGTCTCTTAGACGTGGAGTTGCGCGCCGCCGCCGTGACTCGTCCCGGAGATGTTCGTGCTGCTGCTGCCCTCCGCGATCTGAATGACCTGTGGCCGCATGGCCAGTGGTGTCCGCCTGCTTTCCGGCCCCCCGGCGATCTCCCTGCGTCTCTTCTTACGGAGATGCTTGCCTTCTCGAGGCTTGTGTCTGGTCGCATGGGAAGGGACTGGCTTCCGCGTCTGTGGATGGGCCCGCCTGCCATTCATCCGGCCGGCGTCCTGCATCTTGCGATGCAAGGAAATGTTTACTTAACGCGCCATGTCATTCGAGCTGCTCGTTTTGACTTCATCCAACCGGCTCTGGCCCCGGTCTTGGCTCCGGCCCTGGCTCCAGTTCCACCTGCTCCTCCGCCTCCTCCACCTCCCGCCCCTGCGCCGATCCCGGTCTCTTTCCATACCGAGCTCGAGACACGCCTACGCCAGGTCCGCGTGGCTCTAGAGCAGCAAGAGAGTAGTCGACAAGTGGAACAAGAGCATCAAGACGATGATTCTCTTTTCGGAGCTCGAGTTGGCTCCGTACGCGCAGCCTCCGCCCGAGACTCCCAAGGCCCGCCGCCATTGCTCGGCCTCGACCTCGACGTCGATCTCGAACTCGACCTCGGCCTCGACCTTGACATCAACCCCGGCATCGACAACTCCGAGGCTTTTCTTACGCCGCAGGACCTTGCCACCCACGACGGCGAGCCTGTCGTCAGTCCCCCTGACCAGCAGCCTGTGTCCTTGGTGCCGGGCGAAGACATCCTCCGCCACGCCAGCGATCTCCTCCGCAGCATCGACGATGACATCAGAAAGATGGGCAGGCCGATAGAGCACTACTTTGGCATTGGCCCAGACGAAGATGACGACAACGACGATAACAACAACGTCGATGAGGTTGGTTGGTTGGGCGCGCCTCTAAATGACGACTTCAACATCGGCCCCGGCGACCATGACGACGGCGATGATGATAACGAGATGCCCTCACGCAGCGACCGTAGCTCTGAGCAAGCGGATCTCCTACCGCCGTTTGTCCTACCCCCCGGCGCCGAAGAGCCCGACGAGCTGGGTCTACAAGGAGCTGCCCTAGAGGCGGTGTTTGTGCCCCTTCCTCGACGCCGTCACCCGCCGCAGCCCTACCAATCGGTCGAGGCAACAATCTCAGCCGTCTCTCGGGGCATCGAAACCTCCACTGCCACCCGCCTTCAGCGTGGTGAGGCTTTCTTCACTTTGGCACAGAGAAACGCCATCGCACGTGAGGCTCGGCATACAGCGGAAAGGTTGATGCAGCGGTTTGCAGCACAAAATGCTAGGAACAGCGGCAGCAGTAGTGGCAGTAGCAATAGTGGCAACTCCAGCTCTCATGGAGAAAATCGAGAAGCACATGTTAATGTTGTCAGTGGGCGTGGGCGTGGTCATCGTCGTGGACGTGGGCGTGGGCGTGGACGGGGGCGTGGACGTGGGCATAGGTCCTGACAAGAACCTTTCTGCTGGGCATGGCTGGTGTTATTTGTTTTGTTTTCTTTTCTCTGTTTTCTTCTTTTCTTGTAGTTTTCTTTAAATTTATATTTACTTTGTTTGACGGTTTCTTAGGTTCTTTGAAGATTAATGTGTGAAAATAAATGTGTGTGTGTGTGATAATACGGAAGACTTGTTAGCGTATTGTCACTATGTCTCTCAATTATTACCTCCAACTACTATACATGAATGGAATCAAAAGATTGAGAAATAGTAATTCATAATTCGAGGGCATCATTGCTAGGACATTTGAAGGCGTATTGCGTCTCAGCCTATTTAGTAAAACTAACAACTGTTACCAGCGTTGGCTGAGAAACAGAACAGCTGTCACATTAAGAAAAATAAGATGTACTGTTGTCTTTGTGGGAAGATTAAAGCACTTGTCTCTCTCAACTGCCAGCATCCACGGAGGAGGGCATAAATAAAAATCCCATATGCCTGTCACATCAATAAACATTTAATAAATAGTTGCTCATACATACCACAAGAGTAATTAAGTAGGAAGTGTCGCCCTTCAAAATCTTTGAACCAACTGTCGAACAACGCCTCAATACTCTTCAGCGTGATAAATAAGACTTCAATGGCTTTGTATTCTCAGAGTCAACCATCAAATATGAGGTCCATACTGTAAATAGCCAACCGCAAGTCCGTTCGTTGCGCAAGGATTAGAAGACATTGACGAAAACTTTCAGAGTTTTGGTGGATGCAGTGAGTCTATGTAGGTAATTAACATCATTATTCTAGGGTATATCAAACATCGTCTTTCACCCTTTTCTCCCTTTAGCTGCCGTCTCCTAAAGCATGATACGAATCCCTGTTCAAACTCTTCTTCCCAAGGTTAACCGAATTGATCTGACTCTCTATCAGCTTTGAAACTGAAATTCCCGTCTTAGCAAGCCCTGTACACACTTCGAAGGCAAAGCCTCCCGCTATAAAGTCTATCTCGTTCTAGAGAAAGCTCAGACAAACAGACACTGTTAAATGACTGCTGGCAGGATGTATTTCGTGTTGCCGTCGACTTCAAAGCTTATAGGAGGCACCACGCTATTGGGTGGTGTCTTTCCTTTGCGCTGTCAGAAACGTTCTTCGTCATTACAGGCGCCTGACTAAAATTATGCATTTACGCCGGCCTTTTCTGTGCCATTGTTCTACCATCCTCAAGGTTGACCATACGACCAGCAAGTGAGCCCTGAACCGCAGGACCATTAACAGTCCCGCTATAGGCGCTTCCACGATGGAGTAGGCTTTAATAACCCCTCAATCTACTATTCAACCCCCCTGGCCGACATTATAATACCTCGCAGCGAAAATAACGTAGAATTCAACATTCGCTACTACCATAAGTAGTTCATCACGAAATTCAGTGCGAAGTCACGAAACTGGATCGAGTTTGAAGAGGTGGTCTCGCCGTTCAGCTTTTGGAACTCATCTGTTCCCGCACCACTGTGAGTCAACTCTGTCATCAGGCAACTAGCCGACTTCAATCTGAGTACCTGAATATGAGTGTAGGAGCATGCCAATTCTCTCGCTGGGACATTCGGTCCAGAGATTATCTGGCTCTTGTTACCGGCCCTCAGCAAAATCATCCTTCTACTTGCTGATATCAGGTACAGTTGTTACTCATACCTCGCCTCTAAACCTTCGTCTGCGTCTGCTTTCCGATTTGTTTACTTTGTCATGGCGGTGCATCTTTCACCCGCTTTCTCTTGAATGTTACGTACAAGAGATTGGCTACTGCCATGCCGGAGGTTGACTTTTGGGTGCAAACGACGTTACCGTCACCAGTGATTTGTCCTCTAGTGTGTACAACAGCATCGTTTTGGGCAACAAAGACAATAGTTATATTCGAGATTACTTGCAATAGCGAACATGTCGCTAACGAGAATGATGGCTGCAGCGGTGACTCTTTGGTTGCTTCTGGTCCCAATATTGTCCCTCTTCTGTGTTTTGTCCACCTCGGCAGAAAAGGGCGATCGCCACAGGCGAATCGTCTCCAGGATTCTATAGCGCATTTAAGTATAGACTATGCTTATGGCTACGTCCGAGAGGGCATTCGCATCGAGAATGGATCAGCTATGACGACAGCGGGAATCTTAAGGAGGAAAACAGTTTCTTCCCGTGCCTTTACTGTTCACGGTGCGGCGAGCTTATTTGTCATTTAATTCATCTTGTTTGCGCCTGCTTTGGGCCCACAAAGAAAGATAGGAATAGAGGTAGAGGAAGAAGAAGTGACGAGCTGTCTCTTTGACGTAGATTTTCTACCATTGGTTGTTTTATACTCGTTGATATCTTACAACCTTACTCTTCTTTCAATGTGTATAAACATCATGGAGTGCTTGTCAGCTTCTCTAAGCCGAAGTTCTTCTGGGTCGAACCTCCATAGGAGTTGCAGTTCTCTTCGTATGTAAGCTTCTGGGCTGTTTTGAATGCAGTGGCAATTGCTGGGCAGCATTCATTGTCAGCTAAAGTCATGAATAGAGCCACTGCCAGTGGTTGAGCATCTCCTAAAGGGGACTAAGAGACACACGAGGGGCAGTGACCATCGCTGGACTCGGAAGAAGCATACTGCTCGGGGTAGGTCTGAGAAGCTAGCTGGCCTCCTGCTTCAGATTCCGAGACGTATTATTCTGATCACCTCTTGGCTTCTAAGTCTTTTTCCTTTAGCTACTCGTCATTCCCTGAGGAACCTAGCCCCCCGCCTTCGAGTAAATAAGTGAATAAATAAGTCGGACACTACTTTTTACATCCATAGTGAGCATTCCACGCACATCCTCATTTTACAGGCTGGAGTGCTCAGCGTAATTTACATAGTCGGCATCTACTGCCGTCGCTGCTCTGGATCTGTGTAGGCATCATTTTTTTGTATGATATCCGACAGCGTGTTAGATAGACGACCATGGCAGGGCAGAGACAACTCTAATTCCGCGTTACATTGACAAGGTAAACCGGGAGGTGCAAAGAGAGGACTTTTCTGGACCGTTCCGCAGCGCTTCTCTTTGACATATTCCCAATTCTTGCTACCGCACTTCTTCCGTCGTGTCAGGGAGTGTGCGAAGAAGCCAGAGTTCGGCCGATATATCATACATTACTGTAAATTCAGCGATGATAAGCTCATATTGCATGCACCAGGAATTGCTGTTCTGTTTACCCTCCGGAAATCGAACCAAAGGTCCCCTTCGCACCCTCGTACGACATAGTAACTTAATACATCAGTCCATGTTCTCCAGCAGTCCGAGGCTCAATCAGCGGCAGAAGAGTCCATGAATCATGAGCCGTGACGACTCTCCAAGAGCTGCGCTGACGCAGAAGGCAGTAACTCCGTGTTCTTTAGTCCTTAACTTTCCACAGTGGTAACCACGCTTCGACGAAAGGAGAGTGACAGATTCGGCGGTATCAATTTCGTATTCACAGCTACATTGTTGAGAAACCTCTCAAGATTCGTCGCTCTCTTTTTACCAGTCTTTCTGTCACTTTCCCCAGCCCGATGTTTGCCCGTCTTTGTCGCAATGGGTATGTTGACAACCTCGCACGAATGATGTCAGCCTCGAAGATTCTTGTAATCTTGAACCTGACGAGCGGCTTTTGGGCGTGAAAGAGTCAGAACTGACTGATATCAAGCTACCAAAGACCCTCATCATGCCTTTTGTGTATAGCATCGTTCAAGATCCCTAGGGCCAGTTTGGCCATCTGCTAAGAATCACCTTGCATTACATTGGTGCATGACACTGTGGCTGTGGATCGAGCATCAGTAGCTACTCAGAGGGCGACTCGTGTAGGTTGCTAAGAAGTATCATTCATGAGACAGAGTTATTGCTCTTTAGACAAATTGTCTTATGGGTTTCGCCATTATTACTAACATAATCCCGGTATATGATTAAATTATAACTCATTTTCTGAGAGGAGACGAAGAAATATGATATACAAACTTTTGGCTAGTCACGTTTCAATGTTGGCTGCTGGGAAACAAGTCTGTTGAGATTGATGAGGTCTTTCCAAATCCAAACCAAATTACACATACTTGACTTGCTGCTTCTTTGTTCCTAGCTCCTGTCGTGACTTATAGCGCAAGTGATGGATCTGCTCAAGACGTAGAATGATTTTCTTTCCCATATCATTACCGTCATGGCCTGTCATCACTCGTACTAGATGTAATTTCTTTTCCTTCCTGCAAGGTAGCAAGTAGATTGATGTATTTTGCCGTTCCAATGTGTTACATGCGTGAAGACCAATAGTACTGCTGCTGTTACTGCCGCCGCCACTGGGGTCCACGCCACATTCGAAGTAAATATTGACGTAGTTCCCGCGATTAGCCTGTACGTTATGCGTTCAATCCTCCTTAAAGTTGCTATCTAATGGGACTTTGCGACTTTGAAGTAAGCGGGTTTTCCTCATACTAAGAACCTTATGACGGCCTCAAGGGGTATGTAATGCGCCTGAACGCGTAATGAAGAGATCAAATAGTCAGATCTTAGGTGGATATCTTCTACTTGGCGCTTAGGCTCATGAGGGTTGTGCTAGGTAACCCGGCTCCTCTGCCTAACTTATCTTGTCGTTTCAGGTATGCAAAGCAGAATTCCATAATCACAGGTTATTCGGCATATTCCTCCTAAACATTAGATGGACCCTGTCTGATGCAGACTCTGCTTTAACTTACAAAGATGCTTTTGACTGATTTGGTTGGCGATTAAGGGGGTCAGGTTAGCCTTTTACTCTAATAGGAGACAATTTGGCTGCTTATAAGCAAACGATAGTGTCGCTTGCTAGCTACTTGTCTTTGTTAGCAAATAATCTCCCGGTGGTGTGATACCAGTTTATGTTGTTAGGATTTTGTTGTGTAGCCATTTGGGCATTTAAGTGCGGACCCAAAACAACCATTACCAAGATCCTCGCGTTACCTTTGAAATTCTCATCAAGACACTCACCCTCAGTATAAAAGACTACCAAAGGGCTCCTGTAATCTACTTAAGATGTCAACTTGCACAGAAAGTTCTTCTTCTAGTGGGTTCACGATCTTGTTAAACTGAATCTCAACAGATACTGTGATAGGTTAGACCGTGAGTAAGTACTGCAAACTGCATAGCCTAGCACGTAATATGTTATGTATTTTGGCTTAGAACTTGCTCTATTCCCTTTGAAGTCAGAGTGAGTCTGGCGCTTATTACTCATGGTTTTTGAACAGCTACCAAAATTACAAAAAGTTTAGTCTCACGATTTGGCTATGTTTGTTTGACAAGATGATGGTTTTCCCCTTAGATATGTTCTGAGAACCAGCGTCTGGGGCCAGGTTTAGCTACCAGTAGACAGAAACTTGGCCATCCTCAAACAATGATTGCGGTATTGCTCTCAATGCCGCTGCTTTTTCTACATTCATGATTCAAAATTATGTAAGGTCTTCCATCTATTTTCCGATAATGAAGTCTTCGGTTATTTTGTCGTACATCATTCGCACATTGAGTTCTCTAGAAACACGATTATCATGCTCCTCCTTGCCTTTCTTTGTGACTACAACACTGCTTTCACTCAACGTCTTTTCCTGGCTACATCGCAAGGCTCTCTGCCCACTTCAGCTGAGACAACAGTTTGCTAGCAGGTCTGCCCCTGAAAACTAACAGCTTGCTAGTGACTTTCTGATCGCCGTCTTGGTCCACACACTCTGCCGCTATTAGCGTGAACGACTTGACAACGGTTTTCACATCGATTTTACTTCCATATCTAAGTTTAAGTTTGGTAGCTTACCGAGTAACGAGAAACAGAGAGATTTTTGGCCAAGTCGCAGTGGCAAGGTTACCAGGGACCTCACGACGAAGCGGGTGCTGAAGCATAGGGCAATCCCACGCCGACACATTTCTGTTTGGTTCGAAGTGTCAACGAGCCACTTGGTGAGGCTTCATCCCTGTCAGTCACATTCCGAGGACTGCCGCTCCAACAACTCTTTGATTGACGCAGTATAAAGAAAACAACGTTTTCGAGACCTAGGGCGGTTCTCGGGCACTCAAATAAATCTTCAAAGGGTACGCAGAGGAACGATGTCGGTCAAGACAGAAAACCAAATTCAATCATAAGCAGCAGTAGCAGTTTAATTTCACGGGCTAGTTGCTACGATAGACCCCATCCTAGCTAGTACGGCTTGTCCGTAATTCCCTGAAGCTATGGTCATTGTCTTCATAGCTCCCTTACCTGAAATTAATTTTTCGCGTATTTCTTGTCTTTTCGATCTATCGCAAAATCCACTCTATTATGAATGGTCTCTCTCTATAGAAGTACTACATTTTGAGCTGATGTTTCTTTGAAAGGCGGGCCTTTTTTCTTTTCTCGACCGTCGTTTTTCACAAATCGTCAAGGTGGTGGTGCGTACCATCAACTATGTAGAGTGATTTTGGCTGACTCAGTGTATGCGGTGACATTGATAGTTTGCTCCTGAACAACCATAGTGATAGTAGATCATTCGACTGTCGAAATACACTCACATAATGGCATTCAAAAGGAGTGAAGATGATACCAGAGCTAATCCGCATAATGAAAAGAGCACCAATCGCAGAAAAACAGGGAAAGTATTGAGAAAGCTGGCTTTGAGCCCTGTTCTCTCCGGGGAACGCTCTAAACTTAATTCAGCATCGAGCATTGGGCCTTCTCTCGGCGATTGGGACCGCCATTGATGATACTGAACGATGACGGAGATACTCCCGGTTGTGAAAATCATGCAGGGGGCCGACCTGTGTTCTATTAAAGACATGTGGTTGGGAGAGTACTCTAGAGAGAAATTTCCAAGGTGAATAAAGCTGATTCATCTATTTCTTCCCTGTTACCTTCACGCAAGGGCTAGTGTCAGCCTCAATGTTTGCATGAGCAAGACACATGGCAGCTAATTGAACTTGGTCAAATTTGCTTGAGCACAGCCGACCTTTGTGTCATAAGTCGACGGTGATACAGACATCATCGACGGACTTTCACGAACGCATCAAGTTCAATGAGTTTAAGGAGCTACAGACTGCCAAGGACCTATTTCAGTCTACAGTCCATGCGGAGGCTTTCAGACTCAATCAGGGGTAGGTTCATGAATAAGAGTGCGGTCTTTTGCACTTGGGCTTTGAGGTTATCAGAGCATCAAAAAAGAATACACAAGATATTTCCACATTTCCCTCACGAAAATGAAAAGATTTTAAAAGAGGCGACTTTCCTGGCGGTCTTTATATAAGTTACTTCTTGAATACGGAGAATACTCATGCTCTTCTGCCCGATATGCTTGCTTGTGCCTTCTCACATCTATGTCCAGGTGTCGAGCTAGGGTCGAAGTCTATTATTGTCTACGAATCCAACCCACTATCCCCTGCTAATATGTCCCTCTTCCCATATCAAACACCCGCCCTAGGTAATTACAGTGACAAAGGAGAGAGAGCTGTAGTCACAGCGAGTATCAAGGTACCAACCCTTATCATGAACCTCGCACATTTCGCTGGGCTTGTAGGTCTTCATTACAGAACTTGCCTCCTGTATGCACCTTATGGACATCTCCGGCGAGATGAACTCCGCTCATGTGTGGTTGAAGCTTTGTAAGTCCGCCTCCGTCGACCTCTTCATCAATCCCCTCCAAGAAGGCTTTTTTCCGGTCTTCACCGCAGGCGCGTCTGTAAAATATCTCGGGCTACACAGGATGGTCGGGGCTGCCGACTGTTGTCTTAAATACAGTTGGCGATGTGGTTGGGTGAGGTAGATTTCATATTTTGTAGAGCATCTTGGTAACTGGCCTGATGAGCGTAATTCTTTCTTTTCGTCTTGTTGACGCTTCTGCAGTGATGGGATACTGAGGTAGTCGGAATCTCGGAGTTGCAATGGGGATGCTTGGCCGAATAATACTGATGAGTACTTTGGATTTTTCGAAGTTGAGCGAGAAAATGCAGTCGTATTAGTAGCTTGTTCTACCAAAACCCGACATCTTGAAGACTTGGTTGGGAATCTTCCATCTTGTTGAATGAGTTTGGGACTGACGGCGGTTGTCGTCGTTGGCATCAGTCAACAATCTTTGGGTGTTTTCGTTATTGAGAGTGGCGCCAAAGCAGACTAATACGAGAAGAGCCTTAGCCCTAGGAGTGTTAGCTTGCTTACACATTGAAAGGGTCCATCACTAAATAGTTCAGTAAGTACACTGGTAGACATACCATACCTTACACTGATAGCTGCCTCTGCTCCCGTTAAGTGTCGAAATTGTTGTCAACACACTGCTTTGTTAAGCGTCTTCTCCTCGCGACCTCTAGTCTCTTCTCTGATGAGGCCTCGGCCTGCAAGGAGATTCACACACATTCGGATGCTGCACGCAGACCACTAAAAATGCACTGATTCCTGTGGAAACTGCCAAAGATGCGCTGTCTACAATCCCTCCTTAGCTATCGGGCCACTTTCGTGCATCGAATGAAATCTGCTCCAAACTTACGTTATGACCAGTTAGATACTTACCTTTCTGAACGATCCAGATGTTTCTCTGATTGCTCGAATCTACCTTCCTGGGGTCAAAGCCAGGGACCGTAGCGCCCGGCTCAGAAGCCAGTTGCCACGCGACTCTGCAAATGCGATTGGTTCATCACGGGAGAATTCGAAATAACGCATGTCCCTGTGCCAGTGACAGATTCGGTATAACCACGCAGACTCTGAATTGTTTGTCTCATACCAGTTCTGAACAGCGCTTCCCAGGCGCCGTTTCTCGGTTTCGAGTCGCCGTTGTGCGCTTTGTTCGTTTCGCGTGTCTAGTATTGCGCCTAGGCGGCCCAGAGCCAATACAAGTCGCCACGCCTGCTTGCGGGCACTCTGTCGGCCAGTTCCCTCTTCTTCACTCATTTTGCTGGATGCTAAGCACGCATAGTGCAAACTCGAGAAGCCGTTGGCATCCGGCCAGTCGTGCAGTGAGCCGTTCCTGCACAGAACATGGCGGGGCGAGTTGGCCACCCAGTTAATCAGTTGAGTGGCACCGTTCGCCGCCATAATGTGCAGACTCGTTACGCCGCCGGAAGGACCTGTGACAAATCCCGGCCGATCCCAGAGTGCTCCATGGACCATGAGTAACTTGGCCGTCGACGTCTTGCCGTGGGCCAGCGCAAGGTGCAGAGGAGTAGCGAGGACTTCCTCGAAAGGGTCAGAGTCGTTCAAGATACGAGAATGTGGAGAAGGGCATAGACAGGGCAGGCATGCTTCGGCGTCGACGTTGACACCGCGGCGGAGCATCGACTCGACCAGTTCGTCGTCGCCCACACGAGCGGCGGCGTGGAGAGGAGTCGCATAATACTGGACATGTCGCGCAGTCTTTGGGTCTGGGTAATGGGTACCTGAAGTGCATTCCCAGGAAACGCTAAGACGTGAGTCGAAAATAACGGCAAGTAGCGGTTCTGGAACGTGTAGTAGTAACCGACGTACGAGGTCATGGCGTCGAGAGGAAATGGCCCATAGGAGAAGCGACTCACGCCTGGATGCGGTTTGGCTGGACACGGTGCTGGTCAGTATCAAGCATAGCTTGTCAAGAGCGATAACAAATGAACGGTATGCCTACTTTTGAGAAGTAAATTCTCCATAGAAGTTGATCAGGTTGGCCAGCCGAACAGCGCCATGTTTGTAAGCGACGGTTTCTAGGTGGTCTCTCGGGTGAGTGCCCAACAGATCGAGGGCCAGAGCTGTAATGTGAAGCAACGGGTTTGCGACTGCGTACCATAGGCGAGAAGTTACGGCCAGCGCGGCCAGGTCACGCAGCCCGTCAGGTGGAGGCGGCGATTGGGGTGGCAGTGTCGAGCTGACGACAGCGGAAGCAATGGCTTGTTTGATCTCGACAGGAAGGCGGCATAGGGTCGTCCTGGTCTGCGTGTGGTTCTCCATATAAGGTTTATGGTAACTGGTTGGTTGAAAGAAGCATTTGTCGGCGTTGAGATCTTGGAAATGTGCTGGGGGTGGTCTCTGCCGTGGACCGTGGTTCAGGAACGGTGGTAGTCTTGTTGTGTGATTTGTGGTGTTTTGGTTTCTGCCGTGGTTGAAGAACGGTGACGGTCGCGTTGAGTGATGGTGTTTTGTGGTGGTTTTCTGTGGTGATGCTTTGTGGTGTTCTGTGAATGATGTCGAGCTTCAATAATGAATGTTAGTGGTTTACTGCGACTACCTTGGTTGCTGCTACCCATCCACACCAGGCAAGGGATTTGAGGAAGTTAAGCGGGGCGGGGTTCGGTGAGGCTTGCTTACTACTGCGAGAGTTTGATGTATTATGTAAGGAAAGATTCAAGTGGATGTTTGTTTTTGAGGCAAGTCCAGAGAGTCGAGACAAGTACCAGCGACTTTGCTTTTCCGAGAATTCCGTTTTTCCGGCGAGCCTGCTGGGTGTATGGCGCGGGCCGGAAAATCCTACAAAACCAATCGGTAAACTCTGCTGGGTGGGTCAGTGACTTGATGGGTACATGATCTCTATCGAACTCCCCAGCTCTTGCCTCTTGCAGCGGAGTACACTACGTGCCTGGACCCTGTACTCCATACACGATACGTACTTTGTCTTTCAGCCAATCAAAAAAGTCGGCCAATCGGCAAGCAGATTGACGTTGAAGGCAGTCGGGTGCTCCCTAGAAGGCAGGGACGCAGGTGTGCTCTACACTACCAGTAAATCTTACGTTCCTATGGTTGTTACTGCGAGAATAATTCTTTCAATTGTTCAGGGAACTTGTATTAGGTAAGATTGCATGGCAAGTTATCTTATCAGGTCTTGGTCTGGGCCTGATGTACGGTACGTATTTATCCGAATATGAAATCATGTCGGAATCCAAACCCAACAGCGACATCACGGTCTCTCTCTCTCTTTCTCTTCCATTCTTCCTTTTTTTTTTCCCCCTCTCCGTCTTCCTCCATCTTCCTCTCTCTATCTTTCTTTTTTACCGAATCCATGGACCAGTAACCCCTGTTTCCATTTGTTGTTTCTCGCCCCGACGTTCGTACCCCCAATATTTTCCACCACCACTACATCCGTTGTCCATGCCTTTTCATCAAAAGATTTGTCAGTGTCTAGCCTAATGAGAAGACTCTTCTAACAGCTAAGACCAAGAACTTCAAGAACAATATCATTCCGCTTATCGACGACTCCACCTCCACCGCACCAGGCCTCCCATCGCCACCACGAACTCTTCTAATAAGGTACCGCATCATCTAAGCATTTGATTCCTTGCTCTGCCATACTCCACGCGCACACAGCCTGATATAACAGTCACTACTCAGATCCGTTTTCACATCGATTCTACTTCACCTTGCAGGCAGCCCACATGCTCTACACTGAATTCAGTTGCCGATCTCTCTTGTAATCCAAGACAACCTCCCGTACTGGTTGCTGGTCCCACCTTTGCCCGCCTGGATCGCCCCAGAATCCGCTCTGCTTCAAGGGAACTCTCCTGAAAACCTAGTACTTATGCCTCCCACAAACCCAGCAAGCGCACGGCGTCGCTCTACACAATCCACCTCTCTCCAGTCACACCCGACTTCATTTAACGAGGCATTTTCCACCGTCGCTTTACTCACCCACTATCTCGGTACCAGTGGCGCTGCTTGAGACACGATGTCAAGTCCTATGTCGCGACTGAGAGATGTAAGGTACTTATTGAACTCGACCCCTTTCCTTGATGCCGTCTCCTGGACTCATATTAACGATTGATCAGGTCCAATATCCTCTTGGTCTAGATCAACAACAAGACACATCTTCGCCTCTTTTCGGTATACCTACTAGCTGTCCCCCTTGACAAAGTCGACCATCCCAATCTTTTTCCATGAGCTCCGCTATATGCCATCGTCTACGTAGTCGATATGCCTCTCTAGATATGCATCTTTCCACAAAACTTTGCCATGCGCTATCATTCTACCCGTCCAATCTATTTCAAAGCGTCCGCACAAGCCAGATATGGAGGATCATGAAATCACGAAGCACACGACTAATATGAAGGCGACCATGGAGAGATCGCGAGCCGGTAATCAACCACGAGTGAATAATGGTATCTAGGTAATGATGGTGTGGGCGCTTGTGGATTGATACTGATGCCTTATTCATACTAGATTGTTAGACGACATGACCCCTCCTATTGCCCCTTCTAGCCTTGACGAAAGGTTGATGCGCTTGTTCCCTGTCGAACTCCTCAGTCTTCAAGATTCCATGGGTCTCAGCTAGCCTTGACTGCGGCTCCTTGATATTCCGCAGAGTTGAAAGGGGCAACCCCAGCACACTTGGTACAATAGTTTGATCAGGGACGAAGGGATGCTTGGCTGCTTTCAGGGATCAAGATTGATGGGAAAGCGCCAAGTGGCGTTGCCCTTGTCATTTGTCTCTGGCATCACGGCGTTCATTATCCAAGTCTGCCTCAGCCCACCCATTTCCCCCTCTCCCGGTCCCCTTGTCCCCTCTAGTTACAGGTTGATGGATTGTAACAACCAGTCACTCCAAGGCACAGACACATTAAGATCTCCGAATACAGAACAGTGTTTTTTTTTTTTATTACCACCACGAGGCCGGAGCGACTTAATTGTTCAATCGTGACATCGGCAGCCGTATTCTTCTTGCTGAGTTGAGCTTCAGCCTCTGATGACCTGATCAAGTGCCCCAAACGATCCTACCTAGACCCTCCCCAGACAGACCCAGTAAAACGGCGCTGTGGCTTAGGGGATCTTCAGAGAAGCAGTGTCCGCTACTGCAATTTTCATACGTCTAGAGGTCTTCTCTGGACGCGGCAATGCCAGCAAGCTGGGATGATATAAATGCAGACTTGTTATCAGTGCAAAGTACCCCGTTCAGTACCAGGCAGCCCAGACGCGAGTCCATTGTCTTCGATGAGTGGCGTAATGCTGACTCCAACCACACGCATGCTCGCAATATGGGAAGGACATATGATTTACGCTTCTCCGCCGTCTCTTAATGGCTTCCGGACTCCCAAACGCGTTTATATGCGCTCGGCTGCCCCTTTTGACATTTTAAGCTGTCGGACAAGCTGATGCAAAAGCTACTGTTGCCAGCGGAGGCATGATGATAGATCTCTGGTCTTGTAGACAGCCGTTGCAGTTCCGTGTACCGAATTTGGAGGTCTCTACGCTATCTCCGATTACTGAGTGAGCCTTGCAAATTACTCGCTTTAATTTGGTAACTGCCATTTCCAAATACTGAATAATGGCTTCAGGGTCGCTGGTTCTGATCCCCGCTCATAATAGTGACAAAATCTGGAGCCTTCATCGCCCGAAGGACCTGGCGTGGTCGCGGACAGAATAATGGTATTCCAGTTGTCAAGTTTTTGGACCACGCAGGATGCAAGTACTTGCCTCCACCGTACTATGTCTAGTTGCTTGGGAGGCATAATCCATTGGTTACGTGAAGAACAGACGCAAATGCAAAAACCCTCAGACTCAATGCTCTTGGTTTTTCATGATATGAGCAGCTGCTTGAGATTGGCTCTTTGGCACCGTTGCTGACCGGGACTCTATAAAACATCGAGAGGCGAGTAAACGAGGCTAATACTAGCAGATAGCGGTGGGTAGACGTTAAGTTGAGGCGCTTGCAAGACGATGTCGACTAGGAAGCTTGTCAAAACATGCCCCCAGCGTGCCTCCAGAACCCCTCCTCAAGTTGCTTTGTGTTAATAGTGTGGCAGTTTAGGGGATTCACAGTCAATTGACTTCAACTTCCCGCAATGTCTCAGCAGGGGATTCTACCTCGTTGGGGTCAGTTGACTGTTTTATATCTATCAAAAGCCCATATGAAACTCGTAACGCACACCTCTTCTCCGTCAAACCTGTCTCTTTATCAACCATTACTTGAAGCTGCCTATGTCAGACGTCGAACTCCTAACAGTCTTCAGCTGCATAGCGAGCCATTTTTCAAACTCTGTTGATGATGCGATGAAAAATGGTGTAGGTGGCGTTGCCGGGTTACTTTTGGAACCAATTCAGCTATATTTGCCCTCTTTATAACGCCGACCGCCCTACAGTGGTTGATAAACTATGCGAATCCGTTGTTTTTCTGATAATGTAGAGAATTATTAAACGACGCTACACCACAAGCTTGACGGCAGTAAGAACGATGCCGAACTCCCGGAAACTGGAGCTCTCAACCGTTTTATTCTATGAAACAGACAATTACAAAACTCACCATTAATTCAACCGGCCTCCGATATTCATATACGGAGGCAGAATTACCACAGAAAGTGCACAAGGACAATGCTAATACCATGCCTCATACCTATTTACATTCGCATCCATGTCTATGTAACAACCATGGCCTTGCTGCCATGTTCACTCTTCACAAATACACACACACATACACGCACTCGCCAGGCTATCACTATGACGCAAAGAAATCACAACCGCTTCTAATGGAAGTTGTAAGCCCGAAAAGTCTAGAACGCCGTACATAACCGTTCACCTATCGTAAAATCAAACTTTCCAAGGACAAATCTGCTGGCTAAAACGAATCAGCTTTGATATCCACTCACTCTCGGTTAACTTACAATCTCGCTCCTACGTTTCAAGCCGCAATTTAGCCTCCGCCTGCCGCCCAGCGGTTGAATCATCGGCATACTATGTAATAGTTAATTCCTCCTTTACTTACTACTACTAATCATAATCCGGGGTCAAAGAAGATATTTAACCGTTTACAAGTCCACTTTTACAGAGAGTCATCCGTTAGTTAGCCGGGGATACGGCGTGTCAGCGGACGTCGAAGGCTGTGTCCTTAGGTATGCCGGGTAGGTGATCGCACTTTCATTGAGATAGCAGCCCAACGCTGGAATATATGAATCAGCCTATGAATACCAGCTATAGGAATGACCGAGTTTTGATACTCTGCCAAGTTGCTACAATCCAATGAGTTGTTG